CAAATTCATACAACTTGCAACCTTCCTTTTTATAAACGCAACTGTCTTTGCTTCTTTGGGGATCAGAATAATTGGCAAAAGCTCTGTAGCACCGTTATGTGATCAATCATGGACGCCTATATGGTGTTTTTGTTTCTTTTGTTGACACTATTTTCTCAATTAGGATCATCAGCATCCTATAGTACAATGAGCATGGGCTCATCTCTCTCTGTGGAAAATCCAGCTGATATTTTGATCTCACCAAATGGCATGTTTTCAGCTGGGTTTTTTCAAGTAGGTGAAAATGCATATTGCTTTGCAATATGGTTCACTGAGCCATCCCCAACTCACAACCTCACCGTGGTTTGGACGGCAAACCGTGATGAGCCAGTCAACGGTAGGAGCTCCAAGCTCACCCTCCAAAAAAACGGAAATCTTATTCTCACAGATGCTGGCAAATCCACCATCTGGTCCTCCAACACTGTTTCAGCTTCATTAGCCCGATTGCGTCTCAACGACACTGGCAATCTTGTTCTACTCACTGTCAAGGGTGTTGCTTTGTGGGAAAGCTTTGCTTCACCAACAGACACCCTTTTACCTCACCAACCACTTACAAGGAACACCAAGCTTCTCTCTTCAAGAAGCCTCACCAACTATTCCTCTGGCTTCTACTCACTCTTTTTCGACAATGACAACACTCTCCGCCTTCTGTACGATGGCCCTGAAGTTTCAAGCATTTACTGGCCTGATCCTTGGCTTCTTAGTATCCAAGCTGGGAGGTCCACTTACAACAACAGTAGAATTGCCAAGTTTGATAACTTGGGCAATTTTAGTGCATCCGATGATTTCACCATTTTGTCATCGGATTATGGTGCAAAGCGGCAGAGAATAGTGAAGATGGATGCTGATGGTAATGTTCGAATGTACAGTCGAAAGCAGCCGGGAGATACTTGGGTTGTTACATGGGAAGCAGTTTTGCAACCGTGCAAAATTCATGGAATTTGTGGGGCTAATAGTTGGTGCAACTATGTTCCTAGTTTTGGTAGGAAATGCTCATGTGTTCCAGGCTATGTGATTAGAAATAAAAATGATTGGATTTATGGTTGTCAACCAGAATTTAATCTGTCCCACAACAATAGTATTGCTGCTCGTGATCAGTTTGATTTTATGTTCATTCCTCGTGTTGAGATCTATGGGTTCGATTTCGGGATCTTTTATAATTACACCTGGGAAAAGTGCAAAAATTTCTGCCTGGATTTGGGAAACTGTACAGGGTTCCACTTCAAACATGACTCAGGTGGTGGTGGTTTTTATAATTGCTTCCCAAAGATGCAATTACGAAATGGATACCGTTCGCCTGGTTTTGATGGAGACCTGTATGTGAAACTACCCAAATCAATCCTTTCTTCCTATAATGTCACGGAAGCTGAAGAATCCAACAGTATTTGCTCAGACAAACTTACAAGCCAGCTTGACAGAACATATGAAAAAAGCAACACAAATCAGTCTGTCAAGTTTATGCTGGAATTCGCATCTGGGCTA